GTAATTAATAAGAACGTTTTGGGTTGAAAAATACATAAAAAAGTATATTCATAATATACCGAGATCTAAAAAATCTTTTTAATAAAATTATTCCCATAAATATATCGCCTGAATTCGGAGTCTACTACATTTATTTTTTCCAATACCTACATACCTCCAAACTATGTTTATGAATTAGTTTGAGCTGAGCATCATACCACATTTTAAGGAAAGCAGTGGTTCCCTATGATTCCTAAACACTGAACAGGATATATCAGACGACCAATACAGTTTTTTTTTTATTCCTACCTAAGCTGATGGTCTTGAGAGATCATTTCAGCGTAACCTTAATTAGTATGTGAGCTCACAGGACTCAAACCTGACGATGTTGCTAACACGAACCCTAGCATGAGCAGTGCTTCGCAGAATCTACCAGCGGATCGGAAACGCGACCCACTGAGAAGATCCGGCGAGAAATTCAGTGGGCTGTGTCTGTGGGTTAATTTACTCGCCTAGCCCTTAGTCGCAAGCGACAGGTTCGACGTGAACGATGACCGGTGCTTGGGGTACCTAAAAGCACCGTTAGTAGATCGGGAGGATCCGAAATGACGTGTTTTTGGCGACGTTGACTGTTTACCATTTGGTCCCCAGGATCGGCTATGTAGTTTCCGGTGGCCATGATGAGAGGAAGTGGCGCATTAATGCCGACTGTAGATACTTACTGATGGACTCTAAGTCCAGATCGTCGTGCAGGTCGACGTCAGGTTCATCGACATCAGGCTCCTGACGAACCACGGAGCTCCGACGGATATCCTGCAAAATTGGGATTGAATAGTTTGAAGGGGTTTCAAGTTTGTGCGGGCCGCGTGAGCGAACACTACACTTGTGTAGGTTATGACGAGGCGTATGCAAGTTTTGTAGAGTGTCACCTTAATTTGATGGGACAATTTACTTCGCTTGCAAATCATCGGATAGAGACGACGAATACAAAGTCATTATTTTCATCGCCGGATCATCATGCCATCGTCTTTAGTGACTCAGGTCGTAATCATCATGGATTAGGATCGGAAGACCCCCGAGATTCCCACCCTCCCGATCGTGGCCGTACGCCGGCGAAATTGGATCAGTAGATGTTTAATGTCTGTTTCTGATGTTAAATATAAGGGAAGCCAAGGGAGCGAGCTCCGGGGGAGAAACAGACGGGCCTGATCTACACCCTTACCGCTGGACTACTGTGCAAGGCTCAACCAACGCCGCCCCCCATGACGGACGTCATCTGATTGAACCTGGTCCAGTTCATGTGTGAACCTCTCAACGCCAGTATCGGAACGATTTGTAGTGTCGGTTCCCGAAGCCCGATTATGGACCTTAACTCCTTATAAGAAGTCAGGCTCCATACTCCCCTCCAAGATATCGTGCACGAAGTGGCTCGCACGCACTCAGCTTTCGGAAGTCCTAGTCTACCTGCGACCAACTCAACCAGCTCCCCGTGATTCCCGTATTTATTACGTTTCTCACGGTGGAGCTCGTCAAGCGATCGCTGGCCCGAGACCACCTGCACGTCCACGATCACTCCGACACCATCCCTGGAGGCGATAATATCCGGCTTACGGAGACCAACCGATGTTCGTAGCCTCGGCTCCAGCTCAACCGTCCACTTGTTCTCTTCCATGGCTTTCGCCACGAAAGATACAATCTTGTTGTGTCGTAGAATCCGGCCGCCGTGTGTTCTGTGACACTGTTGTAGGATGTGAGCCGTCGTCTCCCTAACCTTGCATCCAGCACGGCAGGTCAACGAAGACTCACCCCCACCTCTACGCCCTCTCGATCCGCGAATGCGGGATGGGAGGGCGTTGATATGAGTGTGCACGAACTGCACGAAGTCCCGTCCGGTTATCTGCGCGCATCGCTCCCTAATCCACTTTGTGGATGTCGGGGTGCGTGTGGATTCGCGAAGTTCGCGTCCATCAACAGATGC